ATTTTGTTGGAAAATAATTGAATAAATTGTTTATTTATAAAAATATGTTTAAAGTAATAATATAAATAAATTGTATACATATAAAATACTATAACTAATATAAACTAATTAAAAATATTTATTTTTTATTTTTTAATAAAACAATTCTTTGAAGTTCTTCAGGAGTCGTATATTTTTCTTGATAATCTAATTATAATGTTATTAGAAAAAAATAAATAATTGAATAAAACTCATAAAAAATTAAATTTACCTGGCATTCCATTTCATCTGCTTCAATAAATAGAAAGAGAATTTGGTTCGAATAAGTTATCAACACTTATATCATTTATACCTTCTTCTGATTTTTCATTTATTTCATATTGAAAATATTCATGACAACATTGTAATTTATCGAGAAACCTATTATCGTATTGAGGCAAGCTCTATCTTAAGTAACCTAGTTCTTTTATTACTATGTTAATATAATTATATTGAGGATTAAAAATAGGAAATAAGTTATATTCTTTTTTAATAATATTTTTCCATATTTTTCTATTAAACATTTTTTCACTTTCTAGATCAGTTAATTTAAATAAATTATCGGCCATCGTTTTTACACTTAATGGGTTGCTTTTCCTAACCAAAAAGTAATGACATCTTATTAATTTTCTTACAAAACTAATCTCGGGTCTATTTTCAAAAAATTATTCTTTGTTCAAAATATCTTGACTGTTTTCATAACAAGCTTTCACTAAAGCATCCATACTTCCATTTCCTAATTTTCTATTAAACGATTTAGGATCATTTATTTTAGTTTTAGGATCCAACATTTTTAGACATCTTAATAATATCGTTTGAACAGGACCGGTTATTCCAATTTCTTCACAGGCTTTTACTAAATTTTTAAGCATAGAGATCAAACTATCACCAGTTTGAAAAGGGATTCCAAGTAATCTTAAACATTCTTTTACTTCTTGTTTTATGAAGTTTAAGATTGTGTCTAATTTTCCAATGTCAGTTAATTTTTCAATTTCAATTCTACTTATGTTGAGATGAGTTATCATAATTTCGGTAATTTTATCTTCTACTTCTTTTTTATGTTTTTCACATTCTTTAGATTGTTTTTTCCATTCGTCTCTATTTTTTGTCATTTCAGATAATTGGGTTTCTAATTTACGAATTCTTCCGTAATCTGTACGATCAATTACCGTTGTTTGATAAATGACATTGGTATGATGAACTACATTTGGATGTCTCCATCCTCCACCACTATGTCTTCCACCTCTGCCTCCACCTCTATGAGGAATACCGAGCCAGCATCAACCACCGCAGGTTCAGCACATTTTAAAGAATTTGGTTTTTTTGATTTTGAGTAGTTTTTGTTTTTTTTTAGTTTTTTTGTTTGTTTTGTTTTGTTTGTTTTGTTTTTGTTTAATATTTAAATAATTTTAAAATATTTTATTAATAAACCTCAATTAGGAATAATAAAACATTATTAGAAATTTGGCGTTAAAACAAAAAAAAAACATTTCATATTGTTCTTTGTTGAAATTTTTTATATTTGTATTTGTATTTTTTATTTACTATATTTAGATTTATTAAATGTAAATTAATCTGCATTTAATAAATTTAAATGTAGTAAATGATAATCGAAATAAAAAAAAAAAAATATTTGGTTAGTTAATATTATTGATTTTTTTACTAATTTCTACGAGAAGGTCCATTTTACTTTCTAACAAATCTGTTATGTTGTATGGTATTTTAAAGTTGTTTAATGATTTATCTAT